GAATGCCTGCTAATGCCTGGAGGGCATACTTTTCTTCATGGTACCTGCTGCTGTTGTGCTCCAGCATTACACGGTATCAAATGAACAGTAGGAAGGGGTTGGATAGAGGGAAGCTTTTATCCTGTATTCGCAATACCTGGGCTGACCCAATGAGATTGCAACAAGATTCAAAACAGACAAGGGAAGTACAATGCATAATTTTGAGAGCCAATGTGATTTAGTAGAGTGCATGATTACATTCTGGGAGACAGGGTATAAACGAAGCAAAGAAATAAGTCCTATTGGATAAAATGGGACTTTTGGCTGGAATAGGCAGACTTGTAGCTACAGTGGGGCATCTCGGGGCCCCGTCCCCTAAGTTTACAGCCACGCCCCACAAAATCCCCTTTTAGAAAACTTCTCCATTCATCAGAGATTGTAGGCAGAAAAGGTGCTAGCCAGGTTGAAAAAATTCCAGGTAGACTTGCAGTGTGGTAGATTTACTGCCTGGCTGTGCCGGTGGGGCTGGAGAGACCAGTTTGGTGTTTCAGAGATGGTGGCAACACATCCCCCCCCAGCTCCATGACCTTCACGGTGGGCAGTGTAGGCTTCTTTGCCGCCGCACTGCATGGAGTGCAGCGTGCTCCCTGGGTGGCCTTGCTGGCTGCAAGGGCCAGTTTGCCATAGCAACTCAAGGTGCTTCCTCGTGGCATGCACAGCGGGGAGGTGTTGGGCTGGCCAGCCCTGTGGCTCGCAGATCAGACTCCCTGGTGGAGCAGTGCAGCATGGCTGCAGCTCGCCTGGCTCATCCCTGGCTGCCTCCAGCGCTAGGTGGTGGTGCCTGGCTCCTGTCCCATGATCGCCCGCATGAACATGGTGCTCCAGGATCTCGGCAGCAATGTGAGTGGTGGCAGTGCCAGTCAGCCAGCTTCTGGGGGCAGCTGCTTTCAGGGAAAGAAATGGGGGGGGGCCCCCTCAAGGCTGGGTGGGTGGATTTGTTTTCCAGGAGGGCCCGTTGCCGGGCAGGGCGGCCAGCCCCAAGCCCCACGCATTTGAAGAACTGCAAT